CCCTCAATTTCCAGCAAGCGCTTCCACGCAAAATTCAACATATTTGTAGTTCTGTGTCAAAATTTCAGCTCATTTGATCATAAAAAAAACATAGTTGCAACATTCCAAAGTTGGCTCGTTTGTATTAAATTCGGCTTATTGTGCTAATTTAAAGGCCACCACTGTATATCTTTCTCGCACCACCGAGAATTCATTGGTATGCTCAAAACGCACATTGTATATACACATTATAATTAACTATTTTGAACTAGTACACTGGAAGGCCAACACACATAAAGCATCACTTAATTCTCTCATGCTATTTCTGGGAAGCACAAAACATAGCCACAATTTATGTGGGGATGTCAACGCTCGTGGGCTGTTTCTCATAAAAGGCTGTTGGTGGGATCGAAGGTGTGAAGTACATACATTTGTACTGTCAAAGTCTAGTTCATATTATTTTTAAAGCATTGAGTTTATAAGCAAACATTTGGTTGTACCAAATTTCCAAATTTGGTGAAATTGGATTGGAAAATCAGCCTTTAAAATAAATAAATTAATCCCGTAGTTTTCAGAAAGATTTCAACATTTTTGCACATTTTCTTCAAATATCGCAGGGATCCAAAATAACGGGATTATAACTTAAGTAATAAAATAGAATTTTGGGTTGAATGAACTGAAAGCACCATAATGATGACGCGCTGTTAAGTTGACGTGTTTATGTTTTGCTGTGGCGTTTTCGTGTTAAATTTGCATTTTTAATAAATCATAATTTGAAGTGATATTACAATAATAGTGTTCAAAATGTACTACGCAACACTAATCAATTCGATTTCCAATCTTTTATGTTACTTAAGAAAATATTAAGGTTCAGGAAGACGGCAATTTGTTCCAGATAAATTGTTGTTATTTGTCTTATTCGTTCACGCAAAACAAATGGCATGAACATCAACTGTAAGTGTGGATTTCTTACATGTTATATATATATTTTTTAAAGAAAATGTAATGGCTTGCTTACAGTGGACTGTAGTGTATAATCACTTTTTTTTTCTGAAATGAATATTTTTGTAGAGAACCTTCACGAAATGATTTTTTAGTCTTCGTGCATTTGGACAAACAATCTTTGCTCGAAAATTTAGCTATCACAAAAAATACAAAATAATAAAAAAAAAAACCTTCCGACCACATTAGAGAATATGTTGATGATGTGAAAATTTCAAATTGTATAGAATTATTATGCAAATCTGTAATATAATCGCACATTCGCGGTTGGAAACTTTTATAATAATTTTATAACTAATTAAATACGCGTCAGTCAGGTGTTGGATTGTTGGATTGAAAGTGTCAGTACAGTATCAGTGGCTGTGCTGATACAAATCGTTCCTTCTACACTCAACATAGCTGAAAATGAAGACAACCTTTAAGGCCCAAGCGCAATGACAGGGGAAGCGGAACGGCAACGGCAGCGGAAAAGCCCGATCTGAGTAAGCCAACTTGTCGGATTGAAAACTTGTTGAAACCAAATCGACTTCGGTTAGGCATCTTGATGTCATTTGCGAAAACTGTCAAACTTTCCGTTTCCGTTCCGCTTCCGTCCACTTTGCGTTTGGGCAAACAGATGGACAAACTACCAGCATGAATCTGAATTTTGACATAACAACATTCTCTTGATCAAGGCAACCTCTGAGTATCGTACACGGTAAGAAAAAAGTACCCAAAATTGAATTCCTTTCACTAAGTTCATTAAGTTCATTAAGTTAAAGAAGAAAACTCAATTTTGAGTAATCCTGATCATGAATCCACGTTGACCAAGTTGACAAAAAAATAATAAAATGGAGCAGACTGGAACCGAACCATGGACGTTGAGATTACGGGGCCCGTGTGTTGACCACTCGTCTATCAACACTTGTGAATATGAAATGGTTAAAGGCGCATAAGAGCAACCTCAATGAAAATAAACTTATATTTGAGTTCATTTATTATTACTCAATAGTTGAGTAAATTTTAACCAACGCCGCTTTTCTGATTCACTCAACGGCGGACCTCAAATGATAGAACCCAACGTTGAGTTTTTTTTAACTTAATGTTGAGTATTTTTTCTTACCGTGTAGTCAACATTTGTTTTTCTTCATTCGTGGCTGGATGTTCATTATCGCCTCCGTTGTTGTCAATATTAATATTCATCTTCATCTTGGTGAGGATGATTTTGAGGATCAAATGCAAAATGATTATTTTCGTTTTACTCAAATACAGCGCTGAAGGACGTGTTAGTTTTTACACACAAACCGATGGCAAATTATTGTCTCAAGCTGAACTGATGATAAAATCCCCGTTTTAGGCTCTGTAGTCGACAATATTAAAAAAAACAAATCATTTTGCCCTAAATGAATTTGATTATTTTGCTTTTGAGGATCATTTCTGATTTTGATAATTTTGGGTTGGATAATCAAGCACTGGAGAATATCAAAAAACGCGTACTCGTTGATGTATAATGAACTCATTTGTTCATTTCGCTCGTACGTAACAGCGAAGATTTTCAAAACAAACGCAATTCATCTACACCGGGTTGAAGCGATACTCCTTGCGTGTGATGGTAAATGATAAAAGCAGACACTGATCAGTGGTATATTAGTATCGATTATTTGTTGGGGCAAGGGCTTATCGTGTGTGTAAAAGCTGCGGAATGCTTGCGTTCTTGAAATGGGCTATTGGAGCTACGGTAGAGCTATAAACCTTCTAACTCCCAGATTAAGGTGGGTCAACTTAACAATCCCTCCTCACCACTGCTTTTTCGATCTGTATTGAGGTCCCCAACTGCTGTGCAAAATTTGAAAGAATTTAGTTTCGTTCGGGTGAACTTTGAAGTTTGTATGTGAAATGGAAAGAAACACTTTATTTACGAGTCTAAAATTAAATTTTGACCAAACCAGAGATTTAGATTGGGAAAGCATGCAGAAAAAGTTTGTCAAAGATTTTGCCTTTGTTATGGCAACTCCCTTAAATTTAGTTCTTAGATCATACATTTTTGGTGATTCATTTCTTCAGCACTCAATTTTCTAGACAACTATTAGAACCGCTAAATACACGTAAGAGACTGAAATACTCTAAGTCGCTATAATTATTCCTTGAAGAGTTATAGCACATTTTTAATGTATTTTTTGTTAACTTCAAGCGCTATCAGGGGGAATGAGGCAAGTGGAATTACAAAACTTCCTGTTAGCTTGACGCTTGGGTTAAATACTATAAAGTTATGAAGGTTTGGTTTGTCACTTTTCTCCGATATTTGAGTACGGTAGCTTACATGTTCATTGTTTCTCATATATTTTCAGTTTTTTATACATAACTTTTCTGTATTTAATTTTAAAACATACAATGTTCTAGAGATCGATTGAAATAGTAAAAACATATGTGTTGCGTACGCCCTTCGTGCGACACCGCACCTACTCATTCAGGTCATTGATGCAGCGGCGCTGTATCGATGCTTTGCGCAACGGAGTGAAGTTAGCGGTGGAAATCTACAAGCAGGTCTACTGTCACTTCACCTGTCAGAAGAAAATCGGCAAATCATCGTGTGTGAGATTTAGGAAGTAGCCTGAATAATAATCAAACATAATATCACAGACAAACAGACGTAACTCTTCAATGTGTATCTTCGTTCATGCATTTAACGGTTGATTTGAATATTATCAGTTCCGCGAACTACTCGCCGCAGCGCTGGCATCGGATCACTTTGACGTTTCTATATATTCTATAGAACTTTTATGCAATATTGTTTAAGAGTTAGCGAGCAAGCTTGTTTTCCGCGAGAAGCCAGAGAGATGTCGTTACTGAGGTTATATGTTTTGAGATACTATGTTTTCAAGAACAAGTTTTTCAAAGAGTTACGTCTGTTTGTCTGTGATAATATATTACCTAGTGATCTATCTACCTTAAAACTAGCTTAACATTATTGAATTCTTATTATCTATCGCTTAAAAGTAAGGTAGGGAAATATATACAAACATGAAAACTAAAACTAATACGAAAAATTTGTGTAGGTTGTAGGTCAAGTAGTGTGGTAAAGCTACGTGCACCAGAAGTGCGTCGGAATTTATGAGCTGTAAAGTAGCTGAGGTAAATTTTAGTTAGATTCTTATGTTATCTCTAACTTGTATTCTAAAAATAATGGTCTACAGGTATTATTCAAGCGCTGCATACATAAAACCGATCTGGTTAGCGAATTGGAAACCTGCACAAACGTAAGATATAAACGTATGTAAACAAACAGTTAACTAACCTAAAACTCCATGTTTCACAGGAAAATTTTAACCGTTCCCAATAAAAAAAGACGCGTTAAAATTCGGACTGCATTTTCATTTGTTGCCCAAGCAACACATATGTTTTACTGAAGATAGTAAATATAGTAAATCTTGACTTTATTAAATTTTTTTTTATTTTATGAGCTCATAGGGGAAATACATAGTCATTTCGTCTTCTCGAAGCATAGGTCAAGAACTATAAAGCTGTGAAGGATTGATAAAGTAGCCCTAAAAACGCAAAAAAATCTAAATTGCACATGGTACACATCCTAAATTGTTTTGAAACATTTAAATATTTAAGGCAAAGTTTAGAATTATAGCTCAGATTTCATTATACCAAATCACGACAATTTAGCATAAACAATAAAATCTTCAAATCCTGCGACTCATCTAGGACAGCCCACTAAATTATGTTATTTCTGTTCATATGTTCCAATTCCCGAACAAACTCTTGCCTCTTTTTTTTAAATGTATAGTTTTTAACCATATTTTTTTTTAATCTGATCTAATTTTGATTTTTTGTGGATCCCGAGCACGAGCACATATGTATTGCATTATTGTTCAGTCCATCTCGAACTCGTGATACTAAACAACGCGAGCTGAAATATTTTCCGCACAAGCACAGCATTTTCCCATTCACATTTCATTCATTCATGATGATTTCCTCAAATCCACAAATACGCATGAGAGCTCATCGTCATCGTCGAGAGGGAGAGAATACGCACCACCGAAGGAGCAGAGAACGAAGGAATCCAATCAAAACATAAAATTCACGACGCTTATGGCTCTCGTCCGGGTGGTGTACATCCCGCCGGCGTACTCAACTATGATCATTCAAGTCTGTAATACACGAACGTGCTGGCGGAGTCCCCTATCCATACCATGCCATACCCAGTAAAAGACCCGATCGGATGTTGAACATATGCAGCCACAATACAAAGACGACACGATCTTGAGACTTTGCCCAGGCGGCAGTGGATGTGTAATTTTCTCTAACGATATCCAGAAATGTGTATACTCTTCGGTCGATACCATGCGGGATAAGACGGTACAATTTAGATAATTCGTTAAAGAGTGCTCCTTTATTCACAGAGTGAAACAGTGTTCAATGGTTTAGTGTTACGCTAATGTGGTGTATTCTAAGAGAAAAAGAATACGTTCCTGATGGCGTCATGACGCAATACATTTCAAAATGTGATATGCAAGCCAAATGCAAAATTAGTGAAACGACGTTCTTTTACGATGTGCAAAAATGATTAAAAGTGTGTCATATATCCAGATGATGAAAATTAAGTGAAGGCTACTTCTTTTCTGTGTGCAAAATAGTCGTGTTTGTCATAATTAATTCACTGCTTACTCGTTGTTTATTCGTTCGACATATTTGTAGTATACATTTGCTGCCGATCACCATGTACTCAGGTATGTTCAGCTTCTAATCCACAAATTACGTTATGAATGCTAAAAGATACCTAGTCGATCAACTTTAACTTGTCGTAGGGGGAAATGTATCCAGCATTTTTTTTTGGTTTTTGAAATCATTGTCGTCTGTTTGAAATATTTGGATAACACAAATATATGATAATCAAACTTGTACATTTGATGCAAGTTATGATTGGTCTTCACAAATACGATTTCTAGAGCTCAGTTTTGTTATTATAAATGGAAATAGGGATAGGATTTTCAAACAAAATCTAATATTATATATTTTCGATAATTTGGTAAACAAGACACACGATAAATGTAACACACACGTTATGAGTTTTTTAGATAAATGTAGCAAGTAGTACAGCATGCAATATTCGCTTAGTATTAAGAGATGAGATAAGTGTAAGAAAATGACTTCCAAAAATATGGTGTCACAACCATCTTCTTCTTCCTGGCTCATTCTACTAGAAGTTATGTTTGCTTGCAACTTAGTATTCTTTAAGTGCTTCCACTCTTGTTAAGAGTGGAAGTTTCAAGTCTTGTAGTATGTGTAAGCACAATTATACTGAAGATCTTTCTGCGCCAAAAGATTAACATATATGGTATTTAATCAAGATTAAATATGCGGACTACATGGATTGGCTTTTTTTAAAAGATATATGATTCAAGTTATACATAAGATTCAAATTACTTTGAACATTGGCGCAAATACAAGGAAATATTCCTACAAATCCATTACCTACACCCACAAATTAATGATGTGATTTTTGTAGCATTCCTCTTCATTATATTCACTTCAATGTACCAATCTTGTGAAAAGATGAGTAACGTTCTAGTGATGAAGCATTGTCCTTTATAGGATAGAGAGTCCTCATCTAAAGAATGAAGTGTGTTTTTAAATTATTCTCCTCTGTTCGGCACATAATTCGAGTGTGACCAATAATTTGATCTATTATGATATATTCCGTGTCCTTAGTTTAGTGCATGTCTTATTACTCCATTACTATTGAGAAATTATGAAATATTCGGTTTTGATACAATTGTTATTCTTGCCTTTATCGCAAGGAACCGATTCTAATTGAAAGGTCCCAATATTTATATTCCTTTGAAGATTTAAAACGGATTCTCTAGTAACAAAATCAAGCAATGACATCAATATTGACCCAAACGAGAGAACAAAGAATAAAAGATTAAGAAACAAATAGGGTTAACTACCCCATTTCCGGCCTATTAAGCACAACCCACACTTAGTCTTTCTTTATCTAGCGCAGTTTAGTACCAAATGGAATGTTATCATTACTGATGGCTTCCAAATTTATTTACCTTTCCGTACGTACCAAAAGATTTGATAAAGAGAAACAAATCGTTGAGATATTGTCAAAAGTCTAACACTGCTTCTTGACGCCAAACTCGGCCTACGGATTCTAAACTCGGCCTAACGCTTTGAAACGCCATTGAAACGCCAATGAATTCACTTCGGCCTATCGGATGAAGATAAAACGTGATTCGGTCGGAGCACTTCTTTTGTTTTTGGGAATAATTGATGCAAACCTTCATATCACGCGTTCTCATTGACTTCGCTCCTTAGCTTATAAACTAAAGTATCGTACCAAACGCACAATTGACTTGTTAACTCTGAAATCAAGGATTTATTTGAAGTTTTTTGCTCGATAGGCCCAAAATGGGCGATTAGGCCGAAGTAGTTCTCTACCCTAGAAGAAAAAATTACTTGCTAATTTTTTCCTTGTTTCAAGATTATACTCGGTGGAAAAACCCGAGTCTTGTCACTATTAACAAGGGATAAAAAGTAACAAGGACTAAGATGTGTTCCTTTGATTACAAATAAAATCCTGTTCCTCTAGTTTGAAGTAGTTAGGACTAGGCCTCGGTGGTAGATTATACCAGTAACGCATGGTGAAAAGCTCATATACCAGCGTTACTGGACAGAACGGTGTATTACTCTTCATTTCAAAATCATCTAAAAAAAAACATTCAAAAACCACAATACAAAGTTAGGTCATTCATTGAAGGTCACACCTTGCACATTCTTACGTTTCTCGGTTGAATGCATTACCGTAGAACCCCGTTAGTTCGAATAGCTAATATCGCAATTAAACGGGGCTCTTTTAGAATTTGTTTAACGCTCTGAACACAATGCCCCCAGTAAAATGTGTGACGGAAAATATGCAATGTTTGAAAAACCATAGCCTGAACTATGGCTTATCAAACATTCATTAATAAATAGCAGACCACTTATTGACTTGAATTAAAAATCTATTGACATGATTTCAAACTAAATACTTTAAAGATTTATTCGATTCCAATAGATTTAAAATCTATAGATAAATTAATGAGCAATGATTTTTCAAACATTGCCAATTTGCCGTTACACATTTTACATGAGGCATCGTGTTTAAAGTGTTAACTGGTACCCCTAGAGAGGTAGCCAAGAAGCATCTAAAACAGCACGTTATCAGCAGCAAATGCTTCTTAAAAACCACTTTATGCTAAATATACGGCTGCTTAATAATAATAAACAAAACCATCTTGAATTTATTTAAGCATATCGTATCTCATATCGAAGCATTGACAATGCGGATTTGCGACTATGATGCATTTTAATTGCTGATTTACAACAGATATGCATTTATAACGCTTATATTCAGCAAGAAGCATCTGCAAGATATACTGCAAATTCTAATGGTTAGTGGTTACCTGGGTAGTGTAGGTACCAGTTCTTCTTCTTCTCCTTCTCCTTCTTCTTCTTCTTCTTCTTCTTCTTCTTCTTCTTCTTCTTCTTCTTCTTCTTCGAATTTCAAGCTTATTGCTTATCGCATATTAGCATATTGCGTGCTCTCAACTTAGTGTTCTAGGTGCACTTCCACAGTTATTAATTAAGAGTTTTTTCAGTCCGCATCGTGCTCTCTTGCCGTGCGGATCTATTTGCTTTTTGCTGAAGGAAGTGTTACTACTACCTAAAGCTACAACAAATTTAAACAGCACTTTTCAGTTCTCAACCTGTAAAAAAAATTTCTACCTTGTTCAACTCTTATTCCTCTTCGATCCTTGTTTGGACCCTACCCGAGGTAATCCTTCTTGGATATCGATTTGGAAAATTCCTCTTCGATCCTTCAGATTCTTATAGTAATCTGCTTGGAAGTCGATTTGGATAAAAATTTACTGCCGCCATGGCGCCTAAACGCAAAAGAAAGGGGCAAACACTTGACCCCCCTTCTGATGAAATTAATTTGAGTAATCAATTTGATTTGCTCACGGATGATGAGAATGATCCATCATCCAAGAAAAATTCTAGTAAACTTTCCCGGCTTAATGCCAAGAAGGAAAAGATTCCCCCTATTGTGATAACCACTACCGATTTCCATGCTCTTCGCATGGAACTTTTGAATTTCGTGAAAGTTAAGTTTTCACTACAAATTGGACGTCGGGGTGAATGCCGTGTATTGGCTGAAACCTTGGACGGATTTAAATGTCTTCTCAAGTATCTTACTGAGAAGAAGCACAAATTTTTTACTTACGACACCAAAACTGAACGTGTGTTCAAGGTTGTCATGAAAGGACTGCCCAGTGGTGAATCCCTGGATCAGATCAAAGATGAACTGGCAAAATTACTTGGAGTTGTGCCACTCCAAGTAATCAAAATGAAAATGAAATCCCGTCCTGGCGATTCGCGCAACGGGATTTCTAATGATTTTTATTTAGTTCACTTCAAGTCTAGTGAACTAAACAACCTTAAGGCCTTAGAAAAAGCTAGCCTTATGCTCCATGTTCGAGTGAAGTGGGAACACTTCAGGAAGACTGGAGGAAATTTCCAAAACCTCACTCAGTGCCGTAAGTGCCAGGGATGGGGTCACGGAACTAAAAATTGCTACATGCCAGCTAAATGCATGAATTGTGGTGATTCCTCTCACGCAAAGGACGACTGTCCTGTGAAGGAAGATCCTAAGAAATTTAAATGTTCAAATTGTGGTGAAAACCACAAATCCAATTTTTGGGAATGTAAGACTCGCAAAGCGATCCTACAATCTCGTTCTAACCGTCAGGTAGGAAACGCTCCACGTTTCCGACCAGGTACAAATTCCTCTGCTGTTAACAACGGTCAACGAGGAACAAATTCTACATTCGTACCCGTAGGTACAAATATCTCCCCTGCTTCAAATGTTTCATCTGTACCTACTCCCCTCGCTGCTAACAATGTTCAGCGAGTTAATGGAGCTACCTATGCTGCTATTGCAGCGGGTAGAAATCAAAATACTAACCAACGTTCTAACGGAAATTTTGACAATTTTGACTTAGGAAGCATTACTGCCCCCAAAATGGAATTTTTACAGAATTCATTAATTGACATGATTTCTGATATGCTTAAATCTAACTCCATGTTTGATGCTATTCAAACTGGAGTAAAATTTGCAAATAATATTGTCATGACTTTAAAATTCAGTAATGGATTTTAAAGCATTAAATATTGTAAATTGGAATGCTCGATCTCTTAAAGATAATGAAGACGAGCTATTTAACTTTTTGAGAGTTCATAACGTGCATATTGCCGTTATAACTGAAACGTTCCTTAAACCTGGCCATAAGGTTAAGAAGGACGCAAATTACTTGATTTATAGAAATGATCGTCTTGATGGACCCTGTGGTGGCGTTGCCATCATTATTCATAGACGAATCAAACATAAAATTCTTTCTTCATTTGAAACCAAAGTTTTTGAAACTTTGGGGGTTTCTGTTGAAACAAAATTTGGACAACTTACGTTTATAGCTGCCTATTTGCCATTCCAATGCGTAGGCCAGCAAAAGAATTTTCTCAAGGGTGACCTCCAGAAACTTACCCGTCATAGGTCTAAATTCTTCATTATTGGTGATTTTAATGCAAAACACCGCTCATGGAATAATGCTCAAAGCAATTCCAATGGTAATATTCTGTTTGATGATTGTTCTGCAGGTTATTATACTATTCAATATCCAAACAG